TGAACTTCGATTGGGTAAAATATCAATATTTTGATTGTTGAAAATAACATTCTTTGAACCTGTCCATGTTATAATAAAGAAGTGTGAGAAAAGAAAATAAATAAATTAATAAATCAATAATAATATTAATAATACTAATAAATTAATTAATAAATAAATAATATTAGATTAGTCTAGAACTTTATTATTATTATAAAAGGGATTGCATTTTATTAATACATGAAATAAAGATATAACAAAGTCCAAAAGAAAAGGCAAACAGTGGACTAAAAAAAAGACGAGAAAAAACAGTTAGACAAAAATATAACACAAAAGAAAAAAAAACTCTAATAGATGAAAGAAAATCATAACTTCTTACACTGAAAAATAAAACAAAGTAAAATCATACAATTACTTCTAGATTATGAAAAATATTTGTAGCAATTTGATCTACTAACCACCATTGATATTGATGAGCTTAAATCTTTATATATGCGATTCACACTATATTAATTATATATTCTCAAAAACACCACAACAACGACTCCCTAAGAACATTAAAACCAAAATACAGCCCTAGGTTCAAAAAAATAAAGCATTCACAAAGATAGCCCTAAGAACATGCAAATCAAAACACAATCTCAAACCAAATAAATTAATTCAAGTTATATTGAAGGTATATAATTTTTCCCTTTATAAATATAATTGTTCTTTTATATTTATGCAGTTCACATTATACATTCATAAAACAAGAAGAAATATTTGTTCTCATTCTACTTTTTATAACATGGCCAAAAAAATTTAAAATTAACAACAAAAAATAAAATGAAATTATCACTTCTCCTACCTTAATTGATCATTGACTTATCATTTGTATTGGATTTTAATTGTTTTTGTCGATTACAATCAATCATAATCAACGAGGTAACTTTCACTCTCTTGCTTTTATATATGATTTTCTAGAAAGAATACAAATATAAACTATAAATTATAGATCATATTAGATTATAAATCAAATATCAAAAAAGAAGAAGAACTTACTGTTTTTCCCTTCATGTTGAAGAAGAAAGAAAAAGATGTAGTTTCCACTAAGAGAAAAAATATTATTTATTAGATAAATATAAATAAAATTTTCTCTAAAAATTAGTTTCCACTAAGAGAAAAAAGAGGGAAATTTCCCTCCGAAAATACTTATTTATTTTTTAAAAATATATTATTTAATAATATCATTAAAAAAAACTTCAAAATTCCTAGAAATCATATTTGAAATTCTTAAAAATAAAATTTATTATATATATATATATATATATTCTAAATCAAAGAAACAAATAATAATAATAAAATTTATAAATCAAAATTACTTAATTTAAAAATAAAAAATACAACTAAATTTATAAACCTTTGATATTAAAAAAATATTACAATTTTTTTCTCATCTGTATCAGCACATATTTTTTTATCATTCATACTAAAATAAAATATAGTAATCTATATTAAATAAAATATATAATAGATAATCCATATAAAAATATATATTTAAAACATAATCCAAATACATTATATGAAATTAGAATTGATAAACTTGATCCAAATCGAATATTATATTTATAATTAAACATAATCATTAATTTATTATTTTTTATTATTCAAGGAAAATATTATATATATAATTAAACATTAAAAACTAGCTAAAATTTTAATTTATAACTAAATTTTTCATTTTTCACCAAATAAATTAGATCATAAAATTTTTGGGCCAACGCAATATGAAAAAGGTCACAAGCTCTAACACTTCTTATTGGTTGGGTTTAAGTTAAATTGTTATCCCTGAATGATGATTTAATTTTAATAAAGTTGAGCCTAAATTATAAGATTAACCAATAAAAAAAGATACTATTAGTTAATTATTTACTTATTTTTGTACATGACTTAAAATATTCAACTTAAATTTTATGTTAGATACATTCGTGGAGCTATCGATTTTAGACATTTAAAATAATAAGTTACTTATATTTTAATGTAAGGTAATATATATTAATTAATCATTACTTATGAATACAATTCTCCTATCCTCATTTTATACCTCTATATGTGTCCATCACTCATTATAACATGTGTAATATAATTGTTCAATAACTTAATGAAGTTCGTTATCATTATTTTTTTTTCATTTAATAATTTCTTTTGTCATGTAAAATAAATTTTTTAATTTTTAATAATATTTTATCAATTGTATTAAATTTATTATATTTTGATTTATCTATTGTTTTCTAAATTATATTCTTAATTTATAATTATTTTTTAAAATGTTGAATATTTTATTATAATTCATTTGAATTAATTTTATTTTTTTATTTTAATTTTAATTTTTTTGGATTTTTTTAAAAAAATAATTGTCGAAACGATTTTTTTCTTAAACTGTGAGTTTAAAAACCACACCATTTTTAATTTACCTCTTAATTGGTTGATTTTTAATTAAAAAGTAATGTGATTAAAAAACCTCTCGTTTCGAAAAATTTGGGATTCCTTTTTAAAATAAAACTTACGGTTCGAGGAGTCGCTACCAATCTTTTATTAGGGTGTGATTGAGCACCCAAAAACGTTTTGTCATTTTAAATTAAAAAATTAATTTTAATTAAAACGATAAATTTATGTTTGCGTTACCAAAATTCGAGTTCAGGAGTCGGTTACGCGTGGGGAATGATTAGCACCCCACAACATCCTAAATCGGTACCTAGTCGATTAATCAATGTCTTTGAAATGAAATTTACCAATTCGAATTTAATTTAAATTTTGATCACGTAAAACAACAAAAACGTGAATTTTATAATATTCAAAAACACCAAAATAGATTAAATTAAAATTACCAAGCCTTTTAGAAAGATAAAGAATATCCAATTATTTAAAAATATCGAGACCATATCTTAGATAAGTTCTAATAACCTTTTATTGACAAATTTAAATAGTCGAACATTTTTTTTTTCTTTCATTCTCAAATTTTAAGACGGTGAATCATTTTTTAGGTTTCACGGCTGGGGTACACTCTCAATTTAAAATCGTCAAAATCGGCCCTCTAATAAGTTAAGACAAGACTCTTAAAATAATTTTAAATTAAAAGGGTATTACTCTTAATCTGATTATGTAATAAGAGTCGAATTATGCACGTGAGAATATCATACAAATTGTACAAAAAAAGATGTCATGTGACTAAGCATTCATGCGAACCTACACATTCTAAAAGCACTCATGAACCTGTACTAAATTAGCTAACAAAGATCCGTAATTCATACATGTACCGTACTTTGGTAAATGAACGAAAAACTTGCCAATTTCACACAACCATATCACGTATTTAATATATATATATATATATGCTAACATGAAGGGATTATAACATACATCACATAACCAAGCATTAATATAATATAAAAGTACGTACGCATACACAATGAAAACATAGTTAAATGAACCAAAATAAAGGAAGGAAAAAAAACGTGGATCATACAACCAAAGTTTTTAAAAATAAATAAATAAGATAAAATAAAAAAATTCCAAAGTCAAATATAAGGTATGTTTGTTTGGCTGTAATTGGTTTTCTGGAAAATAAATTACTGGAATTTGAATTACTGGAGTTTATATTTCTGGAAAACATTTTCCGGAAAATGTTTTACGTAAAATAAATTATGGTTTTCTGAAAAACATCTGGAAAACGTTTTATGATGTTTGGAAGATGCTATTTAAACATTTTTTCCACTAGTTGAAGAGTTTTTTAAAAATTATTTATTATAAATATTAAATATAATAAATAATATTATTTATCATAAAACTTAATATTATTATTTTAAAATATTAAAATAATTTATTTATTATTAAATATTATTTTTATAATTTTATTAATAAAAATAATAATTTTTTATATTTTAGTGAAATAAAATATTATAAATTATATTAATTATTTATTAAAGTAATAATGTTATATTATATTTTAAAAATATTAATTAGTATATTTTAAATATCTTTATTAAAATATTATTTAAATATATAAATAATATTATTCATTATTAAATATATAAAACTTTTTATTATATATTATTAAAATAAAAATATAATATCTTATATTATTATAATATAATTGATTATTTTATATAATATTAAAAATATATTATTATATTATTATAAATATTAATAAATAAATAAATAATATTTTGATGAAAATGATATTAAAACATTTTATTAATATTAATTTATAAAATAAAATTATTTTGAGTATTTATTCTTTGAAGTGAAAAGTTTGGAAAATGACTTATGGAAAATGAATCCGTAAGTCATTTTACAGAAAACACAAAGGAAATTATATTACTAGGAAAATGAATTACATTCCGGAAAACCAATTACGTGAAACAAACACGGAAAAATATTTTCCGAAAAACGAATTACGTGAAACAAACACGGGAAAACATTTTCCAGAAAACGAATTAGGTGAAACATACACGAAAATTCGGGGAAAACCAATTTCATAATTCCAATTACGGTAAACAAATACACCCTAAGATTCAAAATAGGGTAGCAATGAACTAAGGATTTTAACGGGCAGGTTCAAAATCAAATCAATTATATATATATATATATATAAAAAGAAACAATCAAATACCATTAAAGCATGAAATATAGACATTAATAGATAAATGCAACAAATAAAAAGGCTTAAATATGGAATACATGAAATAAATATCATAAAATTAAATACTAAAATTAAACATACGAAAATGAAATAAAACAGGGAGTTAAATAACAAGGGGATTATGACTAATTTGTAACAGGGACAAAATCAAAGGAAAAATTCGAAAGTCAAAAACCTCTAAAAGGTACTAACTTGTATTAAAACTAAGAGTGGGGGAGCCCTTGCATAATAAAACCACAATGTCAAAATAAGCAATCTCAAACCTATATAAAAACGACACTTCTGGAGGCACTTAATTAAAGCCTCTAAATGAGGTTTTAAAACAAAACCTAACCCCAATTAAATTATTTTTCCCTAATTATTCTCCCCTCAGTGTCATTTCTCTCAACCCTTTCCCATGGCCGATTCTCTACTCTTTCTCCATTCTCTCTCTTTTTATCTATAGCCCTAAACCTAACCCCCAATGATGCATGCGAGCACCAAACCGAACCTTATAATCCAAAGACTCTCGGGTTGTCTTCTCTCATCGCTCCACTCTCCTTCGACCGACGCTGCCAAGAGTCTTCACCGGCGAAGAATCCGACGACAGGTAAACTCACTACTCTCACGTTCCATTTTCTACTTCCGAGATACAACCCCCATTAACAAAACCTCTTAAACACCAAAAATGAAAGGATGCAAAAGGGATTTTAACGTTGCCTTTGACCGAAGGCTTTTCTGTTTTGGTGAAGAAGACCAGTAGTTACTCCCCCGAGGTAAGGTTCTCTCTAAGCTTCGTTTTTTTCCTCCTGTTTTTTCGTTCGAAACATTGCTGCTGCCGTATGGGATTTTCTGGTTTTTCGTGTTGTTTTATGATGTTGCTATATTTTTGTACCCCGAATTGTTGCTGATTTCTCTCCCTTTTTTGGTATTTGGCTTTGGTTTCGCTCAATGGTGGCTGATGATGATGGGTTTCGATTGATTTTTTTTGAAAGGTTGTTTTTGTGTTTTTTCGTTGAATCTTCTCAACAATAGTTGCTGATGGATTTTTTTTATATTTTTTCTGTTGGAGAAAAATGTGGGCTGTTGATGATGCTTTTCCGTCTTATTTGTTGTTTGTTCTTGATGAATGAAATAGGGATCGAAAATCCCCTGGTTTGATGATGCTTTTTGATTGAAAGAAAGAAAAAGGAACAAAGAAGTATTATATACTTTGAAAAAGGACTCTGTTTTTTTATTTCCCTCAGGGTGGTTACATTCTTGCTGTGTCTATTCAGATGGAGAGGAAAAAAACTATTTCTTCTTCCCTCGACGATAGAGCTACAATGGTCGTTCCTCTCTCCAAAAATGGAGAGCCTCTATTACATTGCTTCACTCCCCGAACCCCTTACAAACTGTTTCATTCAGTTTTCATAACCCCCCACATTGATGAATTGCTCCACTTTTTATGGTTGTTTGTTGGAAGAACTTCCAAATGGTTGCACGGGTCCAGCAGGGGAAGGACCACCAAGTGATATAGTCGAATCTTTATTGGTTGATGGCGTGGCTCTAGTGAGCCTGATGTTGAGATGGTGGAAGTCTCACAAATGTGAAATTGTTGATGTATGCTTTGGGCTTATACCAATTGTGATACGGGTTGGGTTGCAAGTGATATTGGGCTCGGGTTGTAAATTTTGCCTTATAAAGAAGCCTGTTCCGATTTGGACTTTGTATCGGGCCTATAAAATAAAATAAAATTAATTATTATGTGCTCTATATATATATTTATATATTAAACTCTATTAAAAACAATACAAATGTCAATATTATATTTTAAAAACTCAAACGAAAATCCCAGACAAAAACGAGCATCTACAATAGTTTTTTTTATGTTTTCTTGACCTTACGTGATAAATTTTAAGTTTTTTATAAATATTTTTTAAATAATTAGTTTTAAATTAAATAAAAATAATTAATGATTTTCATATATTATGTTAAGTTTATTTTTATTTTTTTTAGATAGAAATACCTTTTTATCAAAATAAAATAAATAAAAACAAAATTTGATTTAATTTGTTTTGATTATTTTATTTGTAATAATTATTAAAGTTTATAGTTACAAAATTTGTCAGTATATAACTTTTTTGTGTCAAAAAAATTAAGGGAAATATTTATGGCAATATATTTTTGACTATAATTAAAATATATAACTACAAATATAATTTTTCACCAAAAATTTAAATCTCAATATTTGTTGTGATAATTTTTTTCTATAACAATAATTATAAGTTAAAGTTACAAAACATGTCATTCTATAACTTTTGTTTTTTTGCAAAAAATTGGAGGCAAGCATTTGTGACTATACATTTTGTCACTACAATTAAAATATATAACTATAAACGTAATTTGTAACAAAAAAATTGAATCTCAATATTTGTTGTGATAGTTTTTCAGTAACAATTATTATAAGTTATAGTTACAAAACCTCTCACTCTATAACTTTTTGTTTTTGCACCAAAAACTTGAAGAAAATATTTATGACTATACATTTTGTCACTATAATTAAAATATATAACAATAAATAAAACTTGTTACAAATTTTTTTTGAATCTCATTACCTTTTATAACAATTTTTTCTTGTCATAATTACTAAAACTTATTTTCACAAAAAATTATCACTATATTTTATATTTTTTGCGCCAAAAAAAGGAGGGAAACATTTGTTACTAAAAATGATAAAAAAATATATTTTGCCATTATATGCTACACAAGTTTATTGATTGTGACAAAATATCACACCGATTTTTTTCACAATTGTATATATTTTTATAATTTAATGTGATGCTTATTTATTTTGTCACAAAAAAATTATTAGTAGTGAAAAAATAATTTTCACAAAATTAAATTTGTCACAATAATAGAAATTTTTTGAGATATCTCAAAGGCAATGACAACTTGAGACTTATCATTTAGCAGATATAACCATGATTGTCTAGTGCAAGCATCAACAAATGTAACATAGTACTTATATCCATTGGATACAACATGAGAAGGACTCTAAAGATATGTAAAAACTAATTGAAAAGAAATATCACAAACAGAAGTAGATTCAGGAAAAAGCAACTTATGACTCTTTCCCATATACTAGGCAACACACGTCTTATTATTATTACTTGGAGAAAGAGTTACATTCAATTCTTTACACACTGTAAGTAAGCTATCATGCGAGGAATGACCCAATCGTTGATGCCACATACCATATACTTTTTTAGACAATTGTGTTGTATTAGCTTGATCCCTAGAACAAGCACCAACTAAGGAGTCCACACCAAAGACATACAAACCATCATCTTCTCTTCCTCGAAGTAAGACTACACCAGACTTTTCATCACAAACATAACACTCAAGTGCATGAAACTCAAGGAAAAAATTATTATCCCTTGTAACACCGAAACCTGTATAATTATACCTATGCAGATTATATATGTCACATGAATTTCTTAAAATATTTTTCAATTCAAAACTGATTTAAAAATTTATTTTCTTAAAATGGTAACTGATAATATAAAAATATCATATCATATCAAACTATCACATACTATTGAAAACATATATTAGTATGGATTTATGATATCCATACTGAAATAGAGTAAAACAATTTAGTTTAGTTATTACAAACTAGTTCCAAAATAGTTCAACAGAGCAACTAGGACATTAATAAGTACATGCCACTAACTAACTCAAAATCACATCATAGGATGTCTCACTGATATGGAAATATACTCCTCGATGCTTGAGGTCACTCTGAACTCTTTACTCTACTACTGGCTTTTTACCTACGCATGAAAATCATCACACGCTAAGTATATACTTAGTGAGGCAATTAAAAAACAATAAACAGTGCAATACAACTCATGCATGAAATTCAATATCAAAATCAAAATGCCATAAGATCATGTTACTTGCATGTCCAATAACTATAGCCCATAAGTAAACATATACACATAAGGTCGTGCCCACCATATTACACTTAGTGTCCTTACACACTATAGTGCTATTATAAACCTGCAGCTGCTATACTCTATGGCATGCCAACTATACCCTGTCCTTCAACAACTTACTTGGGCATATAGTCTAATTCATTTATCTATGGTATCATATAACCATATATTTAACATTAGGGCAGTTCATACCCAAAATAACATCCATGGTAAAATATCACATTATTTATGATCAATGCATTATAATTTCACAATGTGACATATCAATATCATATCGAAGATATAAAAATGACATAATTTTTCCATAATTTTTCTCACTCAAATGCATCATGGTTGAATGCTTTATACTTAGAAACTAAGTTTTCATGATTTTGCTCAATTTTGATTCAATTCAAGCATGAAATCAACTTCCAATTAACCTTACAACATCTCTACAATCAAAGCCCTAATCAACTCTCATCAAAACCAAGTTCTATAATTTCTTCATTTGACTGAAAATTATAGAATCATTTATAGGAAGTTTAAACATGTTTTAATCATAATTCATGCTTGAAAATGAATCTACAACCTCAAAAACATCAATATTCATCATCAATTTCATGAACCCTAGCATGAACATAAACCCTAAGATTTGGGATCTTTGAAATTAAGCAAGTTGAACAAGCATAACTGGTACCAAAAGATAGCGTTTCTCGACTAGATCAATTTCTTATTTCACGACATATCTTAAATTCAATAGGAAATGGCTTAAAATGGAAAACAAATATTTTCCTTACCTTATGCTAACTCACAGCAATGGAGAAGATGATGAACAACTTTGGCATGAAATTTAGATATTTTTCATGCTAAATTTACCTTTAATGAATATTAAATTCATTAAATTTGGAAAATATCAATTTACCCTTAATGAAACTTCATAATGACCATTAAATCAAGACATCTAACCTTATCATCTTCCAAACCAAGACACCTAAACTTTATCATCTTCCATAAGTCAAAGATGAACAAATAAGATATTAGTTTACTAATTTGCCATTGTCTTTTTCCAAAAATCATAATCTTGTCACTTTAATCCAACGGTCTAAAATAAACATAGAATTAAACCCTTAAATCTAATTATTTATTTTATTTTCCAGCATTTAAAAATGTGAAAATAATATTTTTCGGTTTAACTTATCATCCATCAGATTTTCCTAAATTTTCGATTTGATCCGATTTACGGAATTTTTCTTCAACTTCCTTGCTTTATAACTTTTATTACAAATCTCGGATTAAAATTCTGATTCCCACATAAACGTTATTCTTGAGATAAACTATTTATTTACGAAGCCAAAATGTAACGTTTTAAAATTACCATTTTAGTCCCTAAATTTTTCCAAAGTTTATATTTTAGTCACCAAACTTTTAAATTTTTTATTTTGATCAATATCTAAATTTTGGGGTATTACATCCCTAGCAAGGTTTAACACCGAAAGCAGATTATTGGTTATTCTTAGCACATGCAACACATCAGTTAATAACAAAAGACGATGGGATGAATGCAAAGAGGCATAACCAACTGATTCAACATTTAAGCAATGCCATCACCAACAATAAGTTTACCTGGGTTGTCAAAGTCAATTGTCTTAGCAATATTCACACCATCAGATATAACATAATGCATAGCACCTTAATTCATGACCCATTGTTCACGAGCAGAATTCGACTGAGAATGAGCCAAAGACTTAGATCTAATTCTCTTAGCAAGACAACATTCACACCCAACATCCTTGTTTTCACTTATAGAATAATAAGCAGCACCAGATTCTTCCTTCGAATAAGAATTATTTGTTAGTTGTAACTCCAGGAAAGTCTTCATTAAATCGATTCCAACACCAATAAACCAAATGCCTATTTTCCCATACAGTTGACACTGTAAACCAAGCACAACATCGTTCTCGACCGGTAAATCATCCACGAGAGTACGATTGATGAGAGAATGACTTAGGCTCAGACTGATCCACCTATCTACTCGACACCTTTCCTTGAGAAACATGAGCACTCATCGAAAGAGACTCAAGCGAATCACCAAATCTAGCCAATTACGTTTTAGCATCCATCAATATAGTATAGATGGAATCAAGAGTCATTAATTCTCCCATAGTCGTTATCACAACCACAAACAGATGATACTCACGAGGTAACCCCTTCAGAATGCTAGAAACATACACAGCTTGAAATACCACACTCACACAAGAGGCCAAGGCATTATACACTTCCTTTACGCGAGTAAGATAATCTCGCATTGAATCATCACCTTTCTTAAGAGATTGAAGCTTATAATGCAGATTAATTTACAAAAAAATGAAGTACCATATTCCAAACAGCTGACGCCGTCTCGACACCCACAAACTGAGGTAGCGGTGGACTAATCATCGAAAGTAACAATGGCGCAATCGCACTGTCATGAGCCATAAACTCCTCATACAAATCATTCGACACTGCCCCTCCTGAGTCATCAAGCACCGTTAGCGACGTAATAGGCAATGATCCCGTCAGTAGTTGTTCCAAACTATGACTGCGAACAGTGAGCAATATTTGTTGCTTCCATAAAAGAAAGTTTGTTTCATTAAGGATGACATTTACCTTCTTATTTGATAAGACTTTAGCACTCCTCGAAATGAACTCCATCGGAGAGGAAGAACTGTCACTGTTTAACATAACAAACTTTAAAGCAGCGAATGAACACC